TATGATAAAAAGACATTTGAAGCGTTAAATCAATAACTCATTCAAACTTATAAACAACCCAGGCCTGATCATAAACACAAATATTACTATCAAGTTCCCCAAAACACATGAGATTGATCTGACTTCTAATAAATGTCCAGTGGATGCGGGCGAGATTCTTCATGCCTCCAGAGGTATCCATTTGTTGTAAGTCACAAGCATAACAGCCGTAAATTATCAATCACCAAATCTGGATGCAAATGTTGCAGAGGTCTTTCCCATGCAGCTGAGACTCAAATCAACACCCTTGCTGAAATACCCCCCATCTTGGCTAGTTGGTGGAAGTTTATGTCTAGATGTGCTGTGTTACAGCGTTCAGGTTGCTCCCTACTCCCCATCCAAACTCTGTCTGGCCTAGGACAAGTTCAAAGGATGATATCACTGGGAGAAATGGGTGCATTCTAAACCATGTGTTTGTCTTATGGAAAAAGTATGCGTTGTTCTCGAAACAAACAAATCCTTTGTGGACTCGAGCTCCGCATTTGTGTTGTCTTTGTGAATAACTAGCCCCTAGAAGTTCCGCAGGATGGATTGTCGATCGCAGCCCACACCATTGCCTATAGGGGCTGATCGCAAGCACTTCGTCAGTGTGTTTGCCTGAGAGTTACCTGTCCTTGAATAGGAGGCTTATTCCAGATTCTGAGTAGGTTTTTACATCAGAATCAACAAACCTGATCGTTAGCTTAAGAAAAACGGTGCATTTTGGGCAGCATAGTTGACCCATTAGCAGCAACGTAGAAACTCTCACAAATAATGGGGAATAAATGCAATAACAGCTATCAGAAGGCACTATTTATAATTAGTTGGCGCAGAAATAATGGAAACCGTTCGACAGTTCTAAGTTGGGAGTTCTCAATAGGACAAGTCATAAATGAGGCTGAATTAGCCACTGATTCTATCTACACGAGTTCGACCAAAAAAACCATCCTAATCATGAAAGCAGCAACTTAACTATTTGTCTTCAGTAATTGTTTGCTGCAAGATACAAATTTGTGTTCAAATGCATCATATCATAAAACTGATAGCTGTTTTGAGAATCACATGGTTCTGGGTGTACTGCTGCATGACGTTACACACAGTAGTTACGATTGATATTTTTGTATCAAATTCTGTTTAAAATATCAGTATGCTCAAAGGAGCAATATTTATCTAAGAATTGTTTGTTTCAGATTTCCAGTCCTATTTTCTTCATACATAAGGAGACAACTATCCTTTAACACCTGCTGTTCTCATCATTTGACACTGATTCATAAAAAACACATGCTCGTGATAAAATCAGAATTGTACAATCGACTCTGCTTTTAGCCAGGTTTTCTTATGAACATGGAAAGGGTTTTGTTGCTTTTATTTTCCCACCTGCCAGTTGTGTGTTAGTAGTACGACACAAACAGTAAGGGAGTATATCAGGCTGTTAAGCACCCTATCAAAAGGTACACTATAGTCTATTCCAGAATTTGCTGACTATAATACACTCACTCTCAACCACAGTTTCAATGAGCTAACATATTACAAAGGAACATTTTCAGTCCACAAACAAGCATGTTTTCAAAACATCTGCAGTTTTGATTTGTATGTGTCTGTCATTTGTCAAGCAATGCTGTAAGATGTTCTACAGTAAAAGTCCATTAACCTCCCCATTACGCAACTTCATATAATATGTACATAAAGATTTTTGGCCAATTTTAACATTTAATGCATTATCACGAAATGTAATCTGACAAAAAAAAATAGTTAAACTTTCCATCATTATCTAAAACCCCGAGAATGAGCTGCGAGATTTATAGCAAGTTAGTAAACAAAGAAATCAGACAGCCAGCCCAAAAAGCTTTTAATCAAAACAAACAGACACAGCAAAAATATGCAATCAAACCGAGTGATCATTTTGTGGCAAGACTGTTTAATTAGAAAATGACTTCATCGACATGTGAGCAATACCCACTTGCCAAAAGTTGGACAAATAAATTCATCCTGAGCAAGCAAATATTGTATAAAACTACTTCCCTGAAAACAAAGATTGAATAACAGGACATCACATGAAATGATTCTATTAAAGAATTTGTCGACAGATGTAGTTTTATAACCATGTCACGAAAACAATTGCTTATGAATGTCCACTACCAGAGGCTTCATATTCAATAAACTTCCTTTGCGAGAGAGTTTGGTGGGAGAATGGCAGGCCTTTTGTTCAGCCGACAGGGCGAAAGAGTAATTGCTTGTCCTAACCAATGAAAAATGAGCATTTGAGTTAAATGTTAAGTTTGTTCATTAGCTGCTTGGCTGATTGCATCGAACCAAATATGGGAAATTCCTCCATTCAAATCTATCACAGACTTGTAACCATACACCAAGACAAGAAGTTCTTTTGTTCACTCACAATGTTAAGATAGAGTTCTTCACTCTCTTTAAAAAAATCTCATATTTTATCACAAAAAGTTAAGAAGGGATGTGAATCTATTGATCAAAAAGTGATGGAAATAATAGCCTGGCACAAACTGTATACACTCACAGTGACATTGTAAAGTCACTACCTCCTCTATCAACAGCATCAGCAAACCACTTTCCCATTACAGCATTAGCTTTTCCTTCAGAACATATAGAGAATCTCACCCTCGTGTCTTTTGATATCAAATATATCAACACGAGTTGATAAAAGTGGAAAAATTCCGAGGCTTGCCCAGGATTTTTGCCACTTTTATCAACGAGTGTTGATATATTTGTTATCAAAAGACACCAGGGTGAGATTTTTTTTATCATCCAACATCATTTTTTCAACTTTTTCAATTTGTAGACAGTTATTAGCAGTGTCTTCAGTGTAAAAAAGTACTGCAAACAGCTTCAGTAGCAGAGCCATTAGTGATGTCATTTGATTGTGACGTCATAGTAACCAGTGACGTCACAATGGTCTGCAAAGCATTGTGATATAATTTCATTGCAGCCATATCTACAGTGTAGATATCGCTTGATCTCATCCAAGCGATATCTCCTGTGCAAGCCAGTTTTGGATGATAAACAGCATTTTCATGGTCTGACACTCAAACAAATATATATCTTGATTTTCATTCACTTGTGGTACATAGCTATCTTTCTATCCACTTTTTTGAGAATTGTAATATATGTAAAGCTAATTGCAAGAAGTCTACAGATCTTACCAAGTTTTATATGTTAAAATTCCTAATTCTTATCTATGTATGTTGACCTTACCACAATATTTATTATTTATAGTATGGAAAAATATTCTAATCTTTATATATGGCTGAGAGAACATTGCTCTGTATGCAGAGGTTGGCCATATTACAGCCACTAACATAAAATAAGACTCAGCAGTCAGGGAATGATGACACGCAATCTGCCAGGTCTTACATCCGCATCACCCCATCCATTAGTACAAAATAATTGGGTACTGACCACAATCCCTACACAGAGACAAGCATGAGATACTGGGGACCTATTCTGCTCAGAATCCCTACAGGGAGACATGCATTAGATACTGGGGACCTATTCTGCTCAGAATCCCTACACAGAGACAAGCATGAGATATTGGGGACCTATTCTGCCCACAATCCCTACAGGGAGACAAGCATGAGATACTGGGGACCTATTCTGCCCACAATCTCTACAGGGAGACAAGCATGAGATACTGGGGACCTATTCTGCTCAGAATCCCTACAGGGAGACAAGCATGAGATACTGGGGACCTATTCTGCTCAGAATCCCTACACAGAGATAAGTGAGTGAGTGAGTGTGGTTTTACGCTGCTTTTAGCAATATTCCAGCAATATCACGGCGGGGAACACCAGAAATGGGCTTCACACATTGTACCCATGTCGGGAATCGAACCCGGGTCTTCGGCGTGACGAGCGAACGCTTTAACCACTAGGCTACCCGACCGCCCCTCACAGAGACAAGCATTAGATACTGGGGACCTATTCTGCTCAGAATTCCTACAGGGAGACAAGCATGAGATACTGGGGACATATTCTGCCCAGAATTGCCACAGGGAGACCAGTCAAGCATGAAGTTCTGTGGATTATTTTTCCCAATGGGAACACTTCTCATCTACATTCAGAGCCTTTGATGACATTTGATTATTTTGATAGTCAAATCACAAAAACATACACTCCCATACTAATGTACACCTTTGTTGACTGAAGCCAGTGGTCATCACGGCCAGTGATATTAGAGTCAGTTAAATGTCATCTTCCCTCTGAACCAGTCAATCTACTCTGGTCACACACAGCCCCTATGTGACGAGCTGTCACAGCTGACAGCCCCAATATATCACCTTCACAATTAAAACATGGCCATCACCACCATTGGTCAAGGCTGCTCCACAGGCCAGCAGGAAGACCCTGACACCAAGGCTACAATGTTGGATTAGATATTAATTGCACTATAATCTAGTCATTCATTAATGTCAAAATTATTTCACATGTACATGTCATAATTGTCATACAGAAGATGTTAGGATTTAGAATTAGCTGAACTTTGAAATAACGGTGTTGCAAGCTATACCAACATAGCATACAGGTCTACAGGATGGTCGAGTTTTATTGGATTAAAAATGAAAAATGGTCCTGTTCATTCAGTCGCTGATCTACCATCAACGTGCTGACAACTCTCAGCAAAGTAAGCTGGGCTACATTACACTTACAAGGATCAAGGGTCAAGATAATTTGAAATACAACATGCAATCCCTCCAAAAGGAGGGCTTCAAGTGACATTATATATGAAAATCAACATGGGGTGCGCAATCCCTCTGAAAGGAGGGCTTCAAGTGACATGTTATATGGAAGTCAACATAGGGTGCACAATACCTCTGAAAGGAGGGCTTCAAGTGACACGACATGTGAAATTGAACATGGGGTGCGCAATCCCTCAAAATGGAGGGCTTCAAGTGATATAACATGCAAGAAAACATGAGGTATGTAATCCCTCTAACATGAGGGCTTAAAGAGACTTACCAGCAAGGCAGGTACACTGGTACTGTAATTCGTCAGTCTTCGTGCAGCTTCCTCCATGCTGGCAGGGGCTGGGGCTACAAGGGATGTATCTCTCCGCACAATGGCGCCCTGTGTACCGCTCGGGGCACTCACACCTTAATGCCACAAAATAACATCATCATTTCGTTGTAATTCTTTTATTAATTATATAAGATAATTACGATATGCAAATGCATAAAAGGTAATGATCTCTCTATCATACAACATCACTCATATAACATCATTCTAAACGTAATTGATGTTTAAGATGCAACTTCACTAACTGATGTATGATTTCAAGAAACTGTAAATGAATACAATACATGAGTGTACTGCCCCATTTATCAAAAATGAAACATGATTCGCAGGTATTTTTCTCTGAAGAATTACCCCTACCTGAACTTGAAAGTAGTTCCTGCACATTGACCAAATTTGCATATTTATCGCATCATGATACCAAGTTTATCGTACTGGTCCATAGAGTCAAAAGTTCATGTAAAGAGGGGTAATCAAGGTTTGCTGCCATTGTATTTGAATCCAGAATTCATTAATTGTTTCCATCAGGGATGACCCCTCGACTTTCTTGCTTTATGTCCAAACACTCTGTTGTACTGCTTATCTTACATTATACAGACTGGATTGGACAAGGTTCATTATTATTGCATGTAACTTCCTGGATTCATGCGGTTACTAGGACAATAAAGTGTGCCTTATTGTGACTTGACTGAAATCCTGACTTTGACAAACTATGAATTGAACAAAATGAGATGTTATCTTATAACTTCACTCAGCTAATATAACATGTTCCTTCATGACTTTACTTTCATCAGTTGTAGCTTTAAGGCATACAACAATCCTCACAATCACCTTGAACTATCTTAAACCTTTTTTAATATTGATGTCTTTTACTTATTCCCCTTCATCTAAGAATATTATCTCAACAAATTCTGTAAACAAGAATTATCCGGATAATATTGCAAAGGACATTCTCAAGTGAGTGAGTGAATACTGTCTTAAGCCACAATCACCAATATTCCAGCTATTCCTGTTAGCGGAGTCTGGACTAGGTAAGCCAATGTAACAGGCAAAATAGTGGTGAAAATTACAGTAATCTTATATTAATGATATTAGATACTTATCCTGCTAAGACTAGACTATCTGCAATTTCCTACTTGTTCTACTTGTTCCCAAATCCCGTAACACAGCACCAAAACACTCCCTCACTGGTTGTCACCACCGCATGTCCCCTCATGCCATTCAACTTCCTCTTTCTACTTGTAGCTCAGACAGCGTAGGCAAGGTTTCGGGTTAATACGTGCTATAGGATTCAGGAACAAGTAGAAATTGCAGACGGTTTTAGCAGGATAAGAAATAGTTCTTTTTATATTAATGGATCCCTGACAATCAGTCATGACACCAGGGCCCACTTGTACAAAGGGATCTTAGCGCTAGGACTATCGTAAGCCTATGTTAAAGTATGGGACTTACGATCATCTTAGCACTAAGATCGTTTTGTGCAAGTGGGCCCAGGTGTTCAAGAAAAGGATAAGCATGTCCTATTTATTACAAGCATATTATCAGGCAATAAAATAATCTGGAAACTAATAATACAGAAATATATGCTTGAAGCCCAATACATACTCGTAATCTCCATAGGTATTTTGACACCGGCCTCCATTTAAGCACAGGTTGGAATTCTCAGTGCATTCATCCAAATCATCCATACAAGTCTTTCCGCGGAATCCTCGTGTACATTCACAGGTAAATCCATAGCTTGAGGATGTACATCTTCCGTCATTCCGACATGGCATAGATGCGCAGTGATCATCTAACTCACAATATCGGCCTGAAAATATAAAATATTACATTTCTGAATACACAAAGGGAACAAGGATTGAACTTTCAAGTATGGTGGTTGCAGGATCTGAACTGCAAACACAGATTGAACAACTGATCGATGGAATTCTGACAGCAACTGGTCAATACTTGATATGGCTTCACATGGACACATTCAAATAAGCATTTAAGGATGTTTTCTTGACAGAATACAAAAGTGAGTGAGTATAGTTTTATGCCGCTTTTAGCAATATTCCAGGAATATCATGGCGGGGGACACGAAAAATTGGCTTCACACATTGTACCAATCAGGGGAATCAAACCCAGGTGTTTGGAGTGACGAGTTAACGCTTTAACTACAAGACTTCCCCATCGCCCTGTATACAAAAGATGATATTTTAGCGATTCAATCATATGTTCAATTCATTGTCACACATAGGGAGTACAACTCTGGAGTCTGACAGTGTTTCATGTAGTAAAATCTGTTTTAGGGATGGGACGGGGAACTCAGGTACTTGGGTCTGGTGGGTCCTGAGTAGGTAACCACAGGACTACCCGGACCCATGGATAGTCACGTGATATATTGTTTAATGACCAAAACTCACTGTAGCTCAGTGGTTACACTACAAGTCGCTAATATTCGCATTTCTTCCTGACGATGCTCACATTCCTTTTGACTTGTGTATGTTTGAGTAAAGATAAAGCTTCAGTCATTTTCAGTATACGCAGGATCTGATCATTTGATGCATGTATTTAAATAGTTTGGCCAGGGATGCAGTAAAACAATTCCTAATCAGACATTTGGTTCCCAAATCTTGAGACCTGCAGAGGGTAGAGTCGAGGAAAAGGGGTTCAGGTAACCGGGTAGTAAATTTGGACTCGTCCTAGCCCTAGTTTTTTTGTTTATGCAGTACTCAGCACTTTCCAAGCTACATGAGTGAGTGAGTGAGTGAGTGAGTGAGTGAGTGAGTGAGTGAGTGAGTGAGTGAGTGTAGGTTTACAGCGCTTTTAGCAATAATCAAGCAATATTCCAGCAATACTCCAGCAATATCATGTCAGGGGACACCCGAAATCCAAGCTATATGATAGTGTCCTGTAAATAATCGAGACTAAACAACATCAGGGTACAACATCAACGATCCTCGCCACAGGGGTACGATGACATGATGACTCAACCAAGTCACTGAGCCTGGTGACGATTTAGTCCATTTGTCCTATTCTAACCCTGAACACTGCAAGCATGATGTGGCGACGCACATACCCCTATATCCTGGCATGCAGCGGCAGGTAAAGTCGGACAGGCTGTTGATGTTAGAACAGGATCCTCCATTTTGACAAGGGGAGCTGACACAGGCGCTGTTGCTGTCCACCATCTCACATAATGTCCCCTGGAAGCCTGGAAAAAAAGTAGAAATGGTTATTTTCTATCAATTATATTTCAGTGTCCAGGACACACACAATAATCTGAGCTAAATATTGTCCATAGTCCTCAATGTCCATCAAAGGTCAACCAGAAAATGGACGGTGGTCGAAATGGACGCTGAATATGAGTGAGTGAGTGAGCTTGATTTTACGCTGCTTTTAGCAATATTCCAGCAATATCACGATGGGGGACACCAGAAATGGGCTTCACACATTGTAACCCATGTTGGGAATCGAACCCGGGTCCCCTGCGTGACGAGCAAACACTTTAACCACTAGGCTACCCGACCGCCCCCACGCGGAATATGAATATTGTGACCAAAGTAGACCATCTTTGAATGGTTAAATGTGTCTTCCAACCTGGATGAAAGGTATTGTTGTACACACAAGCAGGGTTTTACCTTGACTTACAAAAGTGGGGGTCCAATATGTATTTTTAAGGGTCCTTGCAGGCAATATATGGGTCCTGTAAAGTACATGCTTTAGTACTGTACATTTAGACAAATATTTTAGAGCCTGTAATGAATCGTGGACAGTGGTCATGCTTGATGGATGAAATAACAGACACACACTCTTGATATACTGTAGGTACAATGAATAGTGTGTGTCCCTCGGGACGCAGTTTATTTATTTTCGCATCCATTCTCAATATTTGTGCATTGCGTAAAGTCCTGCACCAGTGAATGTGGTTGCGGTGGTGGTGGGGAAAGTGTTCAAATGTTGAGGGATAAAGAAAAAAATAAAGCAATATAGCTGAAAAAATGCCTATGGGACATGAAATTTTAAAGAAAATTGATAATTAAAATGCCTTAAAAGATGGAATTTTCGTAAACTCTGAAGCATTATTCTGAATTTTGAAAGTGCTTAAACAACAAAGGGGTTGCACTGTGAAAGCCTCATGGTTGACATTTTCCCTCATCGTGCTAAATAACTTGGTTTCTTGCCTCTCACAATTCTTGGTGTCCCTCTGCTGCACCATGATTCAAAGTGTTAGATATAACCTGTGATATTGCTGACTATAAAGCTAAAAACACTGTCTAATATACCTGATTATTTGTATCTTACGGAACTGACTGTCCCTTGACTCAATCCAGACATTTTATGTTTGAAAACACTTCAATAAAGTTTAGTTACATGCACAAAGAGGAGTTCCGTTCAATTTTTTTTTTAAAATAACATTTCCATTGCCATTGAGAGCTTGTAGACGTCCTGAAAACAATCAGGTACTGATGATTGATCAGCATTAATGGGAAACAGCTCTTTCAAATAGTTGTCAATGTTGCTCCATATAACGAAGGGAGATAACTCTTCCACCCCTGACAGCAAAGAGTCATCAGTCTCCATGACAGTTATATATAGAGTCTGCCATTTGATTCAAACACATAAAATTCTTCTTTTTTTAAGCATTTCTTACAGCAAGTAATTTCTGTTCTTTCTATAAGCATATGCATTCTTGGACAAAAGTATCTCTCGTACAAAGACAGTAATATTTGTCTAATATTTGGCTATCTTTCAGCAGAGGTTGTTTTATTAGCAGTGAATGGGTTGCAATATTTGTAGTCATATCACAAGGTTGTAAGTAATTTAGAGACTGAGCCAGGAAAGCCAGTGGTTGATAGCATGAGCAACTATCCAGATGACACACAATTAGCAAGGTTTCACTTCAAAGCTACCTATTCCTCATTTGTCAGCATTGGGTACTGGGAACTATTCCCCCTTGAAATCACCATGTCATACAAGTCTTGGATCCTGGGGTCCTATTCTGCCCTGGAATCACCAAGGGCAGAGGCACTGGATACTGTGGACCAAGCTATTCTGCTCTGGAATGCCCACAAGCATTGGGTACTGGGTGGTAATTATTCTCCTCTAGAATCACCAAGGGAGAGAACCATTGGGTACTGGGGCCTATTTTGCCTGGAATCACCAAGGGAGACAAGCATTGGGTACTGGTTGGGTACCGGGGGCCTATTTTGCCTGGAATCACCAAGGGAGACAAGCATTAGGTACTGGTTGGGTACCGGGGCCCTATTTTGCCTGGAATCACCAAGGGAGACAAGCATTGGGTACTGGTTGGGTACCGGGGGCCTACTTTGCCTGGAATTCCCACAGGTTTGCGTGATTCAAGTCTCATATTCAGTTAATATGAGATCACAGATGATCGTAATTAGAATATAATGAATGTTTTAGGACTATGGCAACATAAGATTGAATAATGTTTCCAGCCGAAATGAGTGTTAAGGACTTGGTGTAATATTGCTGACTGTGGCTTAAAATCCTTTACTTAAATTGAAAATCTTTTGATTTTCTGGCAGGGCCTGGGTTTTTATTGAAAAAATATCTGGTTTTGCAGCAGAAGCGGACAAAATATGTAGTCTTAATACAATATGCCAGGCCCCATAGATTACTAAATGGTCGGTCCCTCAGAACCTCTGCCAAAAGTAGATTGCTTAGTAGTTGTGCCAACAGTGCCGACAGTAGCAATACTTGTCTAGTCTCAGAATTCATCTCATCCATCAAAGACAAAATTGACTGAACAGTTAAATTCACTTTATGTATCGTTTGGAAAGCCTTACCTATTTTACATTGGCAAACCCCTCTGGGTGCCTCGTCCGCACGCTGCACGACTGTACATGTGCTGTTATGCATGCATAGATTGGCTCTGCAGGGGTTCAAGTCTTGGCAGAACTCGCCAACGTAATCATCCGGACATCTGAAAAGACATAAAGAGACAAATGAGTATCTTTTGACAAATGAATGTGTTTTTTGTGCCAGCAAACTTGAAATGTTGGATTAATACCAAAATGGGAATAGTTTTTCATTCAAGAGCTTGATGATGCGGAAGCAGACGCTACAAAAACTAGCAGACGTCCACATACCTTGTGATACATCTTCAAGTTTATACCCCTCTTGTGGATAGTGAAGTTGTGGCTTGGGTTGCTGGCATCTCTAACAACTATACTCATGTATTGAGTCTTAAAGTTGTTTTATTATGAGAAAAAAGACACTGACTGTTTACACTTGTAGAGAAATATGCTACTTTCCCAAAATCTAACAAAAATTAATTTTTTCCTTCTTTTTTTTTGCCTCTTGCAAACTGCACAGAACAAGACATAAAATTTGTCTAGACCAAAGATATTCAGGGTGTATCACATCTTGTATCAGATCACATCTTGTATCAGATCACATCTGTGGCAGTTACTCTGTTCACACAACCGAAGATACATCAGGAAAGTCATGTTGGGCCAACACAAGTTAATTATTTGTTTGTCCGCTTTATCTATATTTTTGGAGAAACGACAAATATGTCACAGATACGAAAAATGAAAAATGGAAAATGAAAAAAAGGTTACTCCCTGAAGGTTTAAGCTAGAAATACTCATTTGTTTGTTTGTTGTTTAACGTTTAATGATTGACATGGGCATCGATCTACCCAGTTGGGATACAATGATATGCATCAACCAAGTCAGCGAACCTGACCACCTGATCCCATCAGTCGCCTCATATGACAAGCATGGGTTGATAGAAACCTATTCTAACCCAGGTCTTCAAGGACCCTATACTCCATGACTGAAACCATGAACACATTCAGGGTTAATCTGAGTAAAAAAAAATTGGTTTAGTCTTTTATCAGCTTTGTTCTGTCTTCAACCCAAAGTTTAATTTGGAGCTAAAATACGGACATTCTGCCTTATGCTAGAAGCACCATCATTGAAGAGTGAGTAAGTATGGTTTTACGCCGCTTTTCGCAATATTCCAGCAATATCACAACGGGTGACACCTGAAATGGGCTTCACACATTGTACCCATGTCGGGAATCGAGCCCGGGTCAAGGGTATAAACACTCGGCAACACAACCGCCCCCCATCATTGAAGAGCAAGTCAAGATTCTAATGAAAGGAAAGTGAACAAGTACTTGTCACAGAAGTGACGAAATGTCCCCCGCCTGTATATACACCATAGTACCAAATATGAAGACAATCCAGCGATTACTTCTTGAGATATCGCGGCAACACTGTTTTCCAACTCCAAAAGCAGATTTACCTGCTGTGACCTTGAAAATGGGGTCAAGGTCACCAAAACCGACTGGTGTCTGCGGAGTCTGTATATACACCATAGTTCCAAACATAAAGACAATCCAGTGTTTAGTTCTTGAGATATCGCGGCAACAAACAGGTGGGACGTACGGACGGACGTACGGACGGCGGGGGATAAAAAGGCAAGTCTGATATTTGGAACCATGGCATATTATTTAACTCTTTGCCAAAAGTTTCAGATTTCACTTCCCACCACATCATCAACCAGTTTCAGAATCAATAAAACATCATGGCACTCCTTATCACAAAATAAATCCTTAAATCTCAAGAATTTACAACCAAATCAAAATTCTCACATTTGTCAAAGATAAAAGAAAAAATAAAGATGTCAAGTTTGAGACAAAATGCAAAGATAATTCTCCTAATTAGCCAATCATCAAGCAAGCTTACAACACATGGAGATAACAACTGATAAACATCTATCCCTGTAGCTGGTACACATGGCATGTCAATCAACATCATTGCAATATCATGCTAATATCAGACAGCTGAAGATTAAGAGCCATAACACGTTCTTCTGCCATGTTATTTTTCACTTGTACAAACATTAGGTAGCCAAGTGGTTAGTGTGTTTGCCAAGACCTGTGTTCTATTGTCAACATGGTAAAATTTGTATAGTCGTTTTATGTGAAGGTGCTGTTGGTAGAAGTGGTGCTGATATCATTTGACTGTAAAAATGAAATTGTTTGGGTATTGCTGTATAGATAAAATGCTTTTAGATAATGTTTATCTGCTGCAAATAAAACTATCAATTCCTCCTACCTGCAATAAGGTTATCTCATGAACAGCGACTATCTTCAGAACTTTCATTTTATGTTTCTAATATTGTCCTAGTAAAACCATACCTCTTGGAGAAGGGGAAAAATATTGTGGTTTCAAGCTCATGGTTTACAAATTAGGTGGTTGACCGAAAAGTTTGTATCTATTTCCATATTTCAAATTCTTATATGGATTGCAAAGGTAATATTTTCTTGGAGGCCATTATCATATTGAACTCACAAACATACAAACAAAAACATTGTAAAATTATGTGTATGTTATAAAAAATTAACCAACAATAACCATATCCTGGCAGAGATGCAATCATTGACAGCACCTTGCACTACAGGGCTTAGTATACACACCCCACCCCTAGTACACTTTCAGTCTATGCACATGCGCCAGCATTATAACCATGTATCACAACAAGCAACTGACACAAACACTGGTACAAACTCTGTCTTGTATCTGTTATCACATTAATAGTATCTCTATAGTAACAGTTTCATCATAACATAACACTTTCCGACTATGCTTGTCATAAGAGGCGACTAAATGATTAGGTGGTCAGGCTCGCTGACTTGGTTGATGCATGTCATTGTATCCCAATTGTGTGGATCACTGGATTGTCTGATCAAGACTCGATTATTTACACACCACCATCATATAGCTGGAATATTGCGTAGTGTGGCGTTAAACAACAAACAAACCAACCAACCCTCGTTTGTAACACTAGAGGTCCCGATATGGATTGAGGGGGTCTGCCTCCCTTCAAGTTTTCATGCACTATGTGTCAGTCCCACACTGTTCCCTTTGTGACTTGAAGTGTGCATCACCCTTTTTCAATCTACTGGATCTGTTTCTGTGGAACATCCTCACTGTATTTGATCCTGATGTAAGACAAAGCACTGACTGACCTGGACTCTGTAATACAAGTTAGTCCTCCTGTACTAAGGGACAGTTCCCTTCTTACAGTCAATTAACACATTCTCCTAATGCCATACACATCTGAAATATTTCTCTTACACAAGCAAAATATTAAGTCAATACAGGACCACATTTTTTACCTCTAAATCTATGCATTATCAAAATGCTACATATTAAGCAACTGGCATGTATCCAAATTCTCGATGTGATGCCAAATACCTCACATAATTATACACAAAAACCTGGATATTTGTCAAATATGACAGTGAATTTATACAGATCAACTTCAACCTTGAAACTCTATTCACAGAAACATAGTCCTCCCTTCTAATTTTCACTCTCGTGATGCCATAATATTGTGATTTTATTATTTACAAATTTTCTGAAGCAATATGGATTTGATGTAACAAAACAAAATTCTTTTGTATTAAAGATATTTATTGGAATTTAATTTTTATTAATTCTATATCCATACCATATTTTGTTTTGAACCTTGAATACATATTATCCCCACTATCGTAACTCTGACCTCGCTACATCAATAAAGAGTTTTATAAGCAACGACCCATGTTGTCTGGGTACGTTGACACATCCTAAACCAATCAAGTCACATGATCGTTTGATTAAGATGCCATTTATGTGCAGGATAGGTTTTTAGGCAAGGGACCAATTCTAATCCAAAATCCTCACAGGCTAAGGAATGTATGGGTTATCACTGTCCTTAATACTATTCCTACCATATACCCATTGTGTGCACCAAGAGCATGCTTCAACCTTCTGTGAGGAACCAAACCTTGACTTAGACAAGACAGGCAAACCTTTCTCCATTATGCTATCCCACAACCAATTTATGGCTTTATCACTATCAGACAAAAAGATAATGCTTGAGATTTTACTAAAATAATACCATTAAGACAGAAATTATTCGTTATATTTAAAAATTCATGAAAACCTTTCATTAGCTTTTCAGGAATGAAAGAAATAGGGCTGAGAAAGAAATTTGTGGAAGAGTGGAGGTAAGTACAAGAAATATCAGTCTCCTGAGATGGTATGCATTTCAGTGACATAAATGTATTTATACATTGATAGAATTAACTTTCTATAATTAGCATGGAGAGATGGTGAAAGATTACCATTGCCCAACCAGCCATATTTATGGAATCTCCAATGCAACACCGATTAATTCCTGACAGGAAACCCAAAGAGGAAAGTGAGAAATGTTATTGCGAATATTCATAATCTTCTTCAAGAGCATGATGTAGCAATTTCCTCTGACACGAACCCCAAGTCGTGATCCAGATTCTCAATGTTCTTATCCTAATCCCTGTAACAAGGGACAGCGACTTCAACACCACCTCAAGCTCAGTATAGATTATTTTATTCCGACCACACAAGGTGCCTCGTCAGTTTAATACGACATTACATGTTCCTTGGAATTCTTTGAATAGATGGTGCTATTGCATAGTGAGGAGTTATGTGAGGTTTATAAGGCAAAACCACTTATTTACTTGGTTCACAGATCCACTGGTTTGTTGTTTAATGCCGCACTCAGCAATATTTTAGCCAAATGATAGCGGTCTGTAAATAATCGAGTCTGCATCAGACAATCCAGTGATTGATATCACGAGCATCGATTGATGCAATTGGGATTGATGACATGCATGGGGGGTAATGTGAAATTTGAAACAATTCTTCCAACCCTCCCCACCCAATTGAATGACCAGTCTTTTTACTGTCTTCTCACATTCACTCCAAGAAAGACTTAACCTGTTTGGAAACGACAGTATTCCGTAACCTTCCAATTTTATTTTTTTTAAATATGCTTTAGAAGCCCATGAATTAGCAAACAGCTGCAGGTCTAAATATGTCACCTTCAAAGTCACAAGCTGTCATAGCTACATTCAGTGAGGGACTGATCTAGGGGAGGTAA